TTATGGTGATTAAAATATGAGCACTTCAAAAGTTGAGTTAATAAATTGAAAACTTTTAAAGTTTACTGATCAAAATGGGAGAGATAAGATAGTTGAGTAATGGTGTAATTTACACATTTATAACAGCATTAAACAAAGGCCACATCAATATGAATTATCAAAGCAATTGGTCAATGACGAAAAATGTTGGTCAAAGAGTCATATTAGATTCTTTTTTTGAGTTGGAAGGTCACATTGAGAGAGAAAATAGTACGAGAGCCACATTAATTTTTTTTTAAGTACAAGGAATTCTCGTGCCCTTTTGCTTTGTATTTAAGATGTTTTCTTAATAAAACAATGAAAATAATGTGTTCGACAAAAAATAATTATTTTCTATGATTTATTAATGTAATATTAAATAAATTGTTCAAAGTAATAAAATATACTTTCGTTCTATAGAAATTTATTTTGAGTTTTCATTCAGGACCTAAAAATGTCCGAGATATCTTTGATTTTACCTACTCTCGTACATATATTCGTTTGAGATTGTTTAGAGTTGTAAGTAGCAATTTAGAGACAAAACTAATGCATTTAATACCCATTGCAACAAATATATTGATACCTCTAAATGGGTATGGATTCAATGAACATTTAATGCCTAAAATTCTATGATTGTTAAGCTTAAGGTATCAATACTAGATATCCATGATTCAAGGGACACTAATATAACAATCTAAATTCTTCAAAAAAAAAAGTCAAAATTCAAATTTAAGGGACACTGTAATATAAAAATTTTAAAATATTATTTTGTTAATTTATATATGTAGTTTACACATTTTAGGTAAGAGACACGGCTTTGAGGATGATAATTTAACTTGAAACTAACAGATTTCTATCTATAAGGTCAGATTTTTTTTAAAAGAAAAATGAGATTGGGTTGGATTTTACAAAGGAGTGAGGTCCGGTCAGATTTGGGTAGAGGGTAAAAAAAACTCCGACCGACCCGACCCCAGGGTAATAGAATAATTTCTTTAAAAAAAATTATGGATAATTGCTATAATACCCACTCTTTCTATTATTTTTTAATTAAGTCTTTATTTTATATCGGATCGAGTCGGATTGAATTTATACTCTAAATATTCGGGTTGAGTCGGAGTCGGGTGGAGGATATATATATTTTCGGGTCAGGTTGGGTCGGATAGAAGATAAATAATTTTCTAGTCAAATCGAATTTGCGTGGAGTGTATATATTTTCGAATCAGATCAGATTGACCAATAACCCAACCTATGCCGACCCGTTGCCATCCCTACATGGCGTACCTTTGCCCCCCACATTACCTCGCGACTGCCTCATAGAACAACGCAATACCATACTTGCAGATGCAAATTAGACAGTTTAGAGATGATCGAGTTTAACATGTTTCCTTACGCCACATGAAAAGTGCCTAAAACAAAATCATCTCTCGCCATGAAATTTCAACAAAATTTCGTAACCATGATTGTCATGCATTAGTGAACGTTTTGTTCTCTGCCAAATATGCCTAACCCTTGAGAATGATTTGATTCGAAATTTAAACACGACAATAAATAGGATTATATACAAATCGCAAGTTTTAACCTCAAACTCTAACGTCCTGTGAGAGCTTGTTAGAATCATTTTCGTTTGTCTGTACCAATTGACATAGATTCAGCACTAGTAGTAACATCAGTTTGTCAATAAAACTTGGTTTTAGAACTAAAAACACAGGCACACAACTATGTTCCAAAACATCATAACAGGGTTACCACTCCGATGAGCATGGAAGCGGCTCCAGGTAATCAAACACGTCTGTCGGAAATTCATCAAAGAAGCAATCAGGAGTTGTTGCATCGTTAAATATATTTTTCTTCTTGCCAAGTTCACCATTGTTGCCATTCATTCCAGCTGATGGAATCTTGTTCAATGATTTGGGTTTACTTTCATGTTCAGAAGCCTCCAGATCGTTGAACATGCCCACAAAGTTAAAATCAAATGACTCGGGAGCAAGGTCCTGGCATTCCGGTAAGATAGGGAGCCCCAGTGGTATCATCTGAATAGGCTCAATGTCGACGATGGGAAGAAGGCTTGTTTCCAAGTTGAGTAAATCCGGCTTAATCAGATCAGGTAATGGCACCATTTTGAATTCTTCCATTAAGTTTCCAGTATACAATGGACGTTTAGTTTGATCCTCGTGAGATGATGATCCTTCCTCTAAGGTGATCATGCAGTTGCCTGGAAGAATCTGAACCATGAAAAAAAAGGGGAAGCAATGGTTGTTAGCTTTAGCTTTTGATTTTTGTGATGAATTGCTTCTTCCTTTACCTCTAGCATCGGCATTTCATGGGGAACAGCTTTCCCTTTGTTTTCGTGGGAAATTCTGTCGAGCCGCTTTCGTCTAGCACTCCAGAAATTCTTCACGTCATTATCGGTTCGTCCTGGTAAATGCCGAGCAATCTTCGCCCACTTGTTACCGAACTCCGCTTGCAGTTCTATCACTGTCCTCTCTTCTTCTGCTGAAAATTTGCATCCACTAGGCATTTCCCACAGTGTTTTTGTTTTCCCCAGGAAAGATATAAGGATTAACATGCTTGGTTAGATTGAAATGAAATCATTTTGTACGAATTTGGAGGAAAGTAAAGAGATGACTTACGTTTTCAAGTTGGGTCTAAGCTTGTTAACCCATCTAAGACGACAAGATTTTCCAGTTCTGGGTAAAAGACCCATGGATCGAATGGAGCTCCATCCTCTTGGACCATATTTTCTGACATAGTTCATTAAGATTTCATCTTCCTCAGCAGTCCATGGCCCTTTCTTTATGTATGTTCCATCACTTGGTCTTTCCATCTCTCAAACAATTTTTCTCATAGATTGTGTGATATTTTTGGCAAATAAAAGCAAGGGGGAATGTTTGAGGATCCGACCTCCCACTCTCTCTCTTTTGTTCAAGTGACGGTTGAGACGGTTAATGGCACTCCCCCGATCATCCATTATCCACTAAAGCCCGCCTCTTTTCCATATTCATTTAAATCACGTTATGAAAATCACAAAAACACCCTTATCTTCATCCTCAATATTACATAGGGTAAACTACGCGTTTAGTGCCTAAATTATTAATTTTGGTTCATTTTAATACCTAAACTTTCATTTTTTTCAAAATTATTCCTAACGTAGTAACGTTAAGTTTTTGTTTTGTTTTAGTACTCGTCGTTAAAAATTTAATGGACGGGCAGCTGACCTGGCATTGTTCCGGTGGACGAACGACCAATTTGATGAGAGAATGACAAGTCGATCACCATAGTTCAATTTTAGGCCCATCGAACGGAGGACCATGGAGATCATAGGATGAAGAAATAAAAAAAAACCCATTGTCGATTTGGGGAGATTGAGACATTTTTCGATGAAACGAAGGCCAAAATCGCGTTTAGGAGGTCGAAAAAGTGCGGATTGAAAAGTTTGGGCTTTATTGTGTTTAGGGGATCAAAAAGAGTCGTTAAATTTTAAAAAATAGCACTAAACAAAAATTAAACGTTATATATTGTTTAAAAAAATAAAACTTAGATACTAAAACGGATCAAAACTGATGGTTTAAATACTAAACACGTAATTTACCCTATTACATATGTCAGTCGCACGTGAAACTCCACTTGGAGCAACGCCATGGGGATCAAACTCAGAATCTAGAAACAAAAGGGTCTTCAACTATTCTGTCTCAAGTGAATCCCACTATCCCAGGAACATGTCCATCTCCTTTGTCTTCTTCAAATCATCACACGTGCTTTATGCAAACCTTATTTGATGCACACATAAGACACAAATGTTGTTGTGTTTTCAGTTATCAAGTTGTGGGGAGCATGAGACAAGGAATGGAACCCCAGGCTTGCTGTCAGAATCTTTGATAAAAGAAAGAATCAATGAAAAAGTTCATGAAGATTCATTCCTTCACTAATTAGAGGACACACATAACTACATTGAACTAAAACATGGCACTAACTTCTTCTACTTTTTGACAAACCTGACATTAAGGATTCAATTCAGAATTTTTCTTGTTCACTCTTATAACATAATTATTAGGCCTCAAGTTTTGATGTTGGATACGAGTGAGAATATTTGACGGTATAAGTAGGATGGACCTAGAGGGGTAGGTGGGATGGTCACTTCCCTTACAAATTTCAAATTCTTATATATTTTTTATATTTTTTATATTTTCTATTAAAATTATGTTTTCACTTCATAAAATTTTATAATTTATCTCATACTTAAAATTTTATAAATTCATCCCTTTAACATGAAATCTTGCATCCGTCCGTGGGTCTAAGGTTTCAAAACAATAGAGTAATCGACAAAGTATTGAATAAGCTCAAAATATTATGGGTTTCGGACGTCTTTAGGAAAAAAATTCCAACATCTCTTAGTTCGATTTCATAATTATATGATTCAAGAATTTCGAGTTAGTACGACTCAATTGGATTTAACCTCTGTCAGAAGAGCAAATACATATCAGAATAACAATGACATACATGGAAATCGATACGAAATTTCTCAGATTCAAATTAAGTGCTAAACCTAGTAGTTAAGTTATTTGCCTTGACCTAGTAGTTAAGTGCTAGACCTTTACCCTTATATCATGGTTTTGATCCCTCCCAGCCACAATTATTTTTTATTTCTCGGATAAAAAATTATTAAATGAAGATTTAATATAAAAAATATCTAAATTATATTTTTTCTCATTTAAGTATTTATATTTTTTCTTTATTTATGTGTTTAATTTTTTAAGTCAATACATATGTCTAATGTTATAAACATTATCATTTTAAATATATTAGATGTAACTGCCGTTAAAAAAGTTCATTATGTGAAATGTGTCGGTTTTATATTTTTAAAAAATAATTAAATATATTATTTTTGTGGAAAAACCCTAATTTTTTTAAAATATAAAAAACCCCTAATTTTACTAATTGAATTATGAGAGTCAACCGGGCTAGAAGATACGGAGCCACCCGCCTTCCTCTTCGCACTTTCCCCTCTTTCTTTAGTCCACCGCGTCATTACTGCTGTCTACGCCCTCAACAAACCTCTCTTCCGGTTCAGACAAAAGCACGTCTCGATTTTCAAACTCTGGTTTTCCATCGGGACTGGTTTCAGTCTAACGGTACTCATTGGTGTCACTTTGATTCTTTTCTGGCAATTATTCATGAGCTCCAACACCCGGCTAAGCAACCTTTTCGGTTTCCTCTTATTCGGGTTTTCTCCTTCTTTAAGAATCTCATTGTTCAATGATGGATTTTTATTCATCTCCACTTCGGTCTCCGTTTCAGTCCATGAATTTGGCCACGCTATCGCCCTTGCAAGGTCAATTTCTATTTAATTAATTGCATTGAAAACAGAATTGGTTATTTTAGTTGAGAGAATACAGTTGGAGTACATTGCAGTTTTTCTTACGGTTCTATTCCCCGGTGCACTTGTTGCTTTTGATTACGATTTACTATTGGCTTTGCCTAGATTAAATGCTCTCCGCGACGGACAATCATTAGGTAGGCAACGATGATTGGGTGACATGACGATGACCAGGGCAACAGAGGCAATGGTGGCTGCTGACGTTTAGGGTTTGCAAGTAAGGTTTTTAATGGTTGTTTTTGGTTTTTTTTAGATTTGAGAAAAAAATGTTTTTTTTAATTCTCTAGATACTTAAAATAATAATATTCGTAATGACAAACATTTAATTTGAGCGAAAAAAAATTAGACAATTAAATGGAAAAAATATAATATAAGCATTTTTTATAATTAAACCTTAAATTAATGATCATTTATATAAAACAATAGCATGGTGATCAACATAGGAGAATAATTGTATGGTGTAATTTTTCCTTTAATTTGCTATTGAAACTGTCACTTATCTCTTGGTTTGCAGCAATTCAGGGCAATAGCCCATTTTGCAGCTCTGCCCTGCTCTTAAGGCAACATGTACAATGTCAGTTGTATCAATCATTTCAGAAACCAACAAATCGTACCATTGTTGTTGCCAAAATAAATACCATATGTTTATAGAAAAAGGTAAACATTGGTTGGTATTTTGAGAAGCCTCTTCGTTACTTGCTGCAGCTCTTTCTTATTTTGATTCGAATTATAATATTATGAATGAAAAAAATTAAGTTGAAAATATCGTCTTTTATTGAATCTCTTTAATATCAAATTTGAATTAATCAATCGATAGCTCATGTATAGTTAAAGCCCTTTGAAAAACTAGTACAAGGTGTATATATAAACAATGAATTGAATAAGTTTAAGAAGAATGATACAGTTAAAAGGGAAAACCCATAAATCATTTGAAGGAAATGGTTAAAATTTTGTTCTTCAACAATGGCATATAGGTCAAACAATGTAGTAACCCTTCACATGGCAGTTGTTCCATCTTCTCCTACTGAAAAACTCCCAACTTTTTTTTTCAGTACTCTTTTAACAAGCTGCAAACTTTCTTTGTGAAAACCATCAAAGATTCGATCTTTTTATGAAATGAAAAACACGCTACTTCTTGTATCGTCTTCAACAGTTTTTTTGTTCACTCTCATTGTTTTCATCTTCTTTTACCACAAGAGGACAGAAAGAAATGAGCAACCGGACGGTAAAGAAAGTAAAGGGAAGAGGCATGATGAAGATGAGTCAAAAATGGAGGATTTGATCACTTTTAGCGGTGGAGAAGACCTTACCATAAGTGACATCCTGGATGCTCCTGGTGAAGTAATTGGGAAGTCCAAGTATGGAACCATGTACAAGGCCTTGTTGCAGAGGGGCAACATGGTCAGAGTGCTTCGGTTTTTGAGGCCAGTGAGTAGCTCGAGTGGTGAAGAGTTTGGTGAAGTAGTTCAGCTGTTGGGGTGCATTAGACATCCCAATTTGGAGCCTCTTTTGGGAGTTTATGCTGGGCCTAGAGGAGAGAAGCTTCTTGTTCATCCTTTTTACAGCCATGGCGATCTGGCTCAGTTACTCAGAGGTGAGCTTTTCTTTTCCTGTTTCTGTTCATTTTATCATGTGCTTGCCTTGGAAGTAAATGCAGAAACAACTTGAAAAACTTAACCTGGATTCAGATTGTGAATTAGCTTGGTTTTGTCAGTAGAATTTGTAAAAGATTTAACTGAACTGTTTCATTTGGGCAGATGGGAATGGGGAGTCTCATAGATGGACTGTAATTTATAGGATTTCCATTGGTATTACCAGAGGATTAGACCACCTGCACACCGGATTGCCAAAGCCAATGGTCCATGGAAATATTAAGCCTAAGAACATACTATTGGACAGCAATTACTAGCCATATATTTCGGATTTCGGTCTACATCTACTATTTGAATCCTACCTTTGTCCAAGAAATGCTGGAAGCTTCAGGAAGTGAAGGATATAAAGCTCCCGAGCTCATCAAAATGAGGGCTGCTAGCCAAGAGACTGATATATACAGCCTCGGGGTGATCTTTCTCCAACTCCTTTCTGGAAAACCAACAACAGATGCAAATTTTTATCTGCCTAGCTTCATGCGAAATGCCGTTGTTGATCATCGAATTAGCGATGAAATGGGAAATCCAGTTACAGAAGAACCCATTCTTAAGTTGTTTCAGCTTGCCATGGCTTGCTGTTGTCCTTCTCCTTCACTTAGACCAAATAGTGGACAAGTACTCTTGAAGATCGAAGAAATTGGAAAGTAGGAAGGGATGTAAAATACGAGCAGTGGCATTGGTAGTACTTCATTATGCTGCTGAAACTTTGGTTCCCCGTAGTTTTAGGCTGACTAATTCATATCGACCTGTGTTGTATATTTGGTTTTGGTATGTAAATCTTCTGACGGAGATTTTCTATATATATAAGACCTCGAACTCAAGATCTACTTACATAATATCAAGCTGCTTACCATTGATTGATCAACTTGTCTGTTTGTTTCCGGTTAGGGCCTCGCAGCTGTGCATGTCACACGAAAACCAAGCATGTCCCTCCTCACACAATTAACAAGTTGAGGAGGCAATAGAATTAGAGTTTGGGTTTTGGAACTTTAGGGATTTAGAGGATTAGAACAGTGATCAGTCAATGAGTAGGTAACGATAGATGTATAATTGTTCAGTGACGGAGGTCGATGATAGTCGACAACAGTGGTAGGATTTGGAATTAAGGATTTTGATGATATTTCTTACGAAATGAAAAAAAGTTGGTACTTTTTAAAATGGATTATGAATTTCATATTTTTATATTAAATGAAATAAAAAATTAGATGACGTGTCAAAACATTGATTGGTTGACTAATTTTTAAGATTTTTTGACGGTTGTAACGAACCAGACAATTAAAATAATAACGTCGAAAATGTGGACACCTACATTAACCGGAAAAAAATCAGATACCTAAATGAAAAAAATGTATAATTTAAATATTTTTATATTAATATATTTTTTAAAAAATGATTCGTTTATAACCTAACAAATAATTAAATTATCTGAGTGTATTTTACCCATTTATAATGCCATATTTATGGGCTATTTCACTCTTTTGCTCCTTCCATGGATAACAAATGCATTATCATTTTTGTCCTGACTAGATTTTCCTTCAACTTTTTTTATAAGAAAATGTGATTTATGATAAACTTGTATCTGAATTTGTTACTAACAATAATGAGTAAAATATCACAAAGTAATGAAAAAAGTATAAAATCACATGTCAAAATTTAAAACTTCATATTTTAATTAAAAAACCCAAAATTTTTAAGAAAATTACCCAAATATCCTAATACCCAGAAGCTATCCCTGACTTTCTCTTGCTATTATCCCCCACTATCGTCATCGTTGGCATCATCGACCGAAAGTCAAGAGGAGTAGAAATATCCCCCGCTGTTCGCATGGCATAAACATTCTTGACTAAGTGAAAACCTTTCTTGCCATTTGCATGGCAAAAACCGTCACCGTCATCCGTATTGTCATAAAAAAAAAACGCACGCTAATCTTGCAAAGCTCCGATGTGGTGGCAGGGGATTGTTACGGCTTGCGGTCACATATTTGGTGGGGGATTGTTTCGTGTGTTACAAGGGATGGGAGGAGGGAGAGGAAAGGCAGAAGACGGGAGAATTTTTTCAAAATATTTTTATAATAATATTTTTGTTTGAAAAAATAAAAATATCAGAAAAGTATATTAATGATACGTATTAGATAGCGGGTCAAATTTAATGACAATTATAGTATAAGTACTAAAAGTATATTAGAGAAAACGTTAAACTACTATTTTTTAATAAAATGTTCTTTAGACACTTAAAATTAATTTAAAACTGTAACACTCATTTTCTGTATACATACATGAGTCATAGATGTAAAATTACTTTTAAAACATTTTCATACTTGAAAACTAATAAAATTTTATTTTTTAAATAAAATAATTTAATATAATAATATTAAAAAATGTTCATTAACTATTAGTATGTAAAATAACCTTAAAGTTCGAACACAAAATAATATTACAACCCATATGTCAAATACATACCAGAGCATCATCATATACAGGGGCGGATGCACTAAGCCCCCTATGGGGTCAAGTGCATCCCCATTATTTAGTGGGAAAAAATGAAATTTAGTATAGTATGTCAAAGAAAAATGGAAAAAATAAATTTTTTTGCACCCCCAATATTTTTAAGAAAAAAATTAAAATTTTAGACTCCCATTTATAAATTTCTGGATCCACCACTGTTCATATATCTAATATATGCCAACTAGTAATATCAAAAGTAAGTTTTTAAAGATGTCATACAGTTACTAATGAGGCAACCTTTAATTTACGATGTCAATTGCACTCTTTACTCCGATTGTACATTATTACCTATGTGTGAAACCATCACACACTAATTATTAATTTAGTGATGCATAATAACATAAATAAGACATTTTAAAAACAAGAATAAACCATTATAAGACCAAAATACGATTTATCATATAAAATATATAAACACGTAAAAACTGACTTGATAAGCCAAGTTTCCGTCAAATAACATATGAAACAATATTTAGTATGTCCAGCATACCTATCAATGGATATATTCAAAAGTATTCATTCATAGCCCAATGTATGTCAAATGAGAATGCAATGTACACGAGTTGCATATAAGTGTTAAACGAAAGTATAGGTACTATAGTAACAGCGACAATGTACTAATATATCGAAATGGTTATTCACAAACTCATTATGAATATCATGCATGCACACATAGTGCCGAAAGTACACAAAGATAATGATATGAAAATGTAATATATGCATTAAACAAAATCGATCGATAACAATCATACTCCAAGTATGTCGAAATGCACCTATGACTCTCAATACACATACAATAGGCCTTTAAATCAAATTCGCAGATTATACATTTATTTTGAAACATCGATAGTTGTTAAAACAATATAAAAATTCATCCATATATTTTAGGGCAATTCATACCCTAAAATTATTTGGTAAAATCATTTTCATAAACTTTATGAAAATATTTCAAAATACGGTAAAACATGTTTTGATAGAAATATTTGAGATTGATTCATCGTAAGTTGTCCTCATGTCATATAAGTACATAATAAATGTACTCACCTAGTATAATTCACTCTTATGTCTTACTAACAAAATCCGATAAATTTTCAGCATTTAATTTCCATCCTAGTGCCTCAACAATGACATATTTAATACTTAAGTCTCTAACTTTTTCAATATTTATCATTTTGTACTTCAACTTTCCAACTTTCCAAAATAGCTAAATTTTACATTCTAACTTCAATTCCAACCCTCAAACAACAATTTCTAGCAATGTACATCATCTTTAGAATAATTATACATTCATCCCATAACTTTTTTAAATTTCCAAATAAGTCCCTCAACTTTTGAAAAATTACACATTGGCCCAAAAAAAATTCTAAGGCTTGTAGAACCTTCCAAATATCATTTCTAGCCCATGGAAATTTTTCTATAATTTTTCCCAACTTATTTCCTCAAGGCCAAATGCTTTAGGGTGTAAATCTCATGATTTTCACTTGATTCAAGCGTGAAACTAACATCTATTCAATATTTCAAGACATATTCAATCAAACCCCTAAATTAATTTCATCAAAATACATCTTGCCCCTAAATCTAGGGTGTAGTCGAATTCAATATGAGCTTATATAGCCATGTACAAGTGATTTTAATCATTAATCGTGCTTATATATGATTCTACAACCTCAAAAACATCAAAATCTTTCATCAATTCCATAAACCCTAATGTGAACACAAGCCTTAAAATTTGATATCTTTCAACACAAGCAAGATTATCATGCAATATTGGTACCAAATGATAGCGTTTTTCGCGTAGAGCAACTTTCTATTTCACGGCACGATCCAAAAACCAAAGGGAATTACTTAAAAAATTGAAAAGCAAATTTTTCTTAGCTTTGGAGGAGGCTCACGGCTTGGTGGCTGATTTTAAGCTAAGGGTTCGTTTGTTTCACATAAAACGTTTTCCGGAAAATGTTTGTCTTATTTTCCAGTGTTTGGCTGGAGGAAAACTGGTTGATCAACGTAAAATATTTTTCTGGTCAACAAAATTTCCTTTGTGTTTTTTTGGAAAATGACGTACGGTTTGATTTTCCGTTAGCCATTTTCCGAACTTTTCACTTCAAAGAATAAATACTCAAAATAATTTTATTTTATGAATTTAATATTAATAAAATATTTTAATATCATTTTAATCAAAATATTAATTATTAAAATATTAAATATATTTATTAATATTTCTAATAATATAATATAATATTTTCATATTATAATAAAATAATCAATTATATTATAATAATATAATATATTATATTTTTATTTTAATAATATATAATAAATTATTAATAAAATTTATATTATTTATTAATTTCATAGAAATAATATTATTAAATTATTAATAATGAATAATATTATTTATATATTTAATATTAATATAATAATCTAATAATATTTTAATAAAGATATTTAAATTAATTAGATTATTAAAATATTATATAATTTAAATATATAATACTTTATTAAAATATTATTATATTATTATATTAATATTAAATATATAATACTTTAATAAATAATTAATATAATTTATAATATTTTTATTTCAGTAAAATATACCAATATTAATATTTTTATTAATAAAATTTTAAAAATAAAATTTTAATAATAAATAAATTATTTTAATATTTTAAAAAAATAATAATAAGTTTTATGATAAATAATATTATTTATAGTATTTAATATTTGTAATAAATAATTTTTAAAAAATTCATCAACTAGTGGAAAAAGATTTAAACAACATCTTCCAAATATCGTAAAACGGTTTTCAGAAAATGTAATTCATTTTACAGAAAACATTTTACGGAAAATATTTTCAATGAAACAAACATATCCTAAGTTTATGAAATTTCTAAATTTAATTTCATGTTAATTTAGACTTATTTAAGCTTAATGAGTTTAATATTCATTTAATTGGAAAAAGGCCAATTTATCCTTATTGAAACTTCATAATTACCATCAAATTAAGCCACGCCAACCTTATCATCTTCTAAAAGTCAAATATGAACAAATTATTTCACCCTTTTTCAATTTTACCAAGCAACTTTCCAAAAATTATAATCTTGCCACTTTGATCCAACGATCTAAATTAAACATGAAAATAAGTTCTTAAATTCAATGGTCCATATTATTTTCTATTATTTTAACATGCGGAAATAATATTTTTAAGCCTAATTTATCAACATTCAATTTTTCTCGAAATTTCTATTCGATCCGATTTACAGATTTCTTACCATACTTTAACCATTTCTAGTTTTCAACATAAATTCCGGATAAAAAATCTAATTTCAATAAAATCTCGCTCTCAAAAGTAAACTATAACAAAAATTATTTTTGGAAAAATTACCACAATGGTCCCTGAACCTTTTTTAATTTTTTACTTTGACTACTAAACTTCAAAACTTAAATTTTGGTCATTAACCAAAATTTAGGGTATTAGAAAAGTGTAATTCGAACACTTATTTCTACGTGAAGGATGACTGGAATGGAGTAATTTATAAATGGGAAACCGTGTTCTCATATCATTATGTTATCCATCCGAAGTCAACATATTGAAGAAGAGGGTTTAGTGAAGGTAAGCTACTGCTCCTCATTAATTCCTTCCAAGAATCATACAGACTTATCAAAGGATTTGCTAAAAGATGAAATGAAATCTACATAGACACCACCGTTTTCATCTTCAAACCTCATCTTGCTTGCTATATATTTTCATATTTTTTATTGAACCCTTTCTGATTTTGGCATTTGCATATTTGAGTATTGCCCTTACTAATTCCCCATTATGTTCACTACATTAACCCTTTTTTTGATCTTTTACAGCTACAATCTACAAGCTATTTGCCTGAAGCTAGCAGGTAGCTAAACGCTTACCTTTTCCTATTCAAGTGGTGATAACAGAGAGAAGAGAGGTAAGTTCATCAATAATTTCCAGCTTTTCCAACATTGTCTTTGGTTTAGGGGAAATCCAATTTTAGTTATTTTTTTACTAGTTGGAATCCACTAGAAGTTTTTTCTTTTTCAAACTTATCAGATCATCAAGAAAAATGGCTGAATTTGCTGCTTCTGCTGCTGCCAATACTGTGGGAAACCTGGCAACAGAATATGCGTCGCCTTATCTTAGTTACTTTTTCCATTATGGGAAAATTGCTGAAGATTTCAAGAATCATCGAAATGATCTTCAATTAAAGAAGGCTAGAGTGAAAAATGAGGTTGATCTGGCTGTAAGGCAAACTGAAGTAATCGAGAAGGACGTTGAGAACTGGCTAACAAGGGTTGAGAAAGAATTGAGAGAAACCCAGATTCTTGAAGAAGAAATCGATCATATCAAGTGTTGCAAATGGTGTTCCAATTGGGGCTGGCGTTGTTCTTTGAGTAAGAAACTTATAAAAAAGACCTTTATTATCTCTAAACTTCTAGAGACTTGTAACTTTTCACCAGTTGGCCGCCGTGCTCCTCTTCAAGGAATAGAGTTCATCACATCTAAGGACTTCGTTGACTCTAAATCTTCAAAATCAGCTTTGAAGGAGATCATGGAGGCTGTAAATACTAAGGATGTGAACATGATTGGACTGTATGGAATGCCAGGAGTTGGGAAAACAACTTTAGCCAAAGAAGTTGGGAAGCATGCTCGTGAACAAAAGTTGTTTGATAAAGTTGTGATGTTTACAATGTCCCAAAATCCAAACATCAGCAAAATTCAAGGTAAAGTTGCAGATATGTTTGGTTTAAAATTTGAAACAAGTAGCGAAGAAGGAAAAGCGGAAGAGCTGTTTCGGAGTATGAAAGGTGAGACGAACATCTTCATAATTGTCGATGACCTTTGGGAAGAATTTAAATTGGAGACAATAGGAATTCCATTGGGTGTTGAACATGAGGGTTGTAAAATTCTTCTGACTACACGTGACCAAAAAGTCTGCACCATAATGAATAGTCAGAAGCAAATTCAACTCGGTGTCTTATCTGAAGAAGAAGGATGGGATTTATTCAAGGTTATTGCTGGTTTGGAAGATGGCTATTCCACCTTGATTGACGTAGCCAAAGAGGTAGCTGGTGAATGCAAGGGCTTGCCTCTTGCAATTGTAACCGTGGCAAAAGCTCTAAAAGGTGAGAGTTTAGAAGGGTGGAGGACTGCTAATCAGAGACTCAAGGACTCAAGACATTTGGACAATGAAGATGTTTTTGGAGGTGTGTACAGGGCACTTAAGCTTAGCTATGATTATTTGAAGAAGAACAATAGCCAAACAATGGAAAATGACATCCAATCGTGTTTCCTTTTGTGTTCCCTTTTCCCTGAAGATTATGAAATACCTATTGAGATGTTGATTATGTGCGGAATTGGTGTGGGATTGTTCTCTAATGTTTATTCAATTGAAGACAAAAGAAGGGAAATAGGTGTAGCACTAACAAAACTTCAAAAGTCTGGCTTGCTGTTGGAAGCTGATGATGGAAAACGTGTAAGAATGCATGATGTGGTTCGGGATTTTGCTCATTGGCTAACATCAACGGGAGAAAACAGATTCATGGTTAAAGATGGGCTGAAAGAATGGCCTAATGCCGTTGAAAGTTTTGGGTGTTATACTGCAATAGCTTTATGGAACTGTAGTTGCTTAAATCATTTTCCTAAAAATGTGGAATTTTCAAAGCTCAAGACATTGTTTTTGAAGGGAAGAGGTTTACAAAGTGTTTCAAGTACAATTTTTGAAGAAATGAAAGCCCTCCAACTTCTATATCTCATAAATGTCTGTTTCTCACTGGAAGGACTCCAACCCCTAACAAAGCTTCGAACTCTGTGTTTAGGGAATTGCAAGCTCGAAAACACCTCATCATCATTGAGAAATATGAGAAACCTCGAGATTCTTGTATTGTTTTGCACTGATATTGATGAGATATCTGAAGAATTAGTGGAATTGTCTACTCTCAAATCATTATATCTTTCTCACAAAGAGAAACACATCAATATTCCCCCCAACTTGTTACCGAGGTAATACCTAGTGCAGCAGTTTTATTTATTTTTATGATATTCATATTCTCTTTTATGTAATTTATTTGACTGCTATTTACTTTAATAGCCATTTTGATTTAGAATACACACACGCTTATCACAAACATATCTACAATAAGCTTTTGGTAAGACTTATTTTATGAGGCATTCTAACATGTACATGCATATTCCTACCTATTTAAAAAGAAGAAGAAGCCACACTCCATGTAAGCCCCAATCTTAAAGCCACATTGCATGATACGCATGAAATGTGTATTCTGAACTTGAAAATAATTGACACACATGATAGTTTTTTAATGGAACCTGGCATGTGTGTTGCGCCATGTAACTTGGTAATTTATGCTTTTTTTTAATGCATATAATAGGTTGACGTCACTTGAAGAGCTACACGTGAGAAGTGAAAACAACGTCAACTTAGCGGAGCTGAATTCATTGTCTCGTTTGACTGCACTATCACTGAGAGTTTCTACTGATCAATGCTTCCAAGAGAATATTGTGTTCCCTAAACTACAAAGGTACATTATAGTTGTCAATAAGCATCTTGATGAGTGGCAGGGAATGACCTTTAGAACTTTGGAAATTAATGATCTCACATTCTCTTTGAGCGCGTTCACGGATCTATTTTGCAATGTAGAAGAATTGAGGCTGAAGGATGTCAGTGGACAAAAGAACATTATCCCAAGCATAGGTGAAAATGGAGCAAATAAGTTCACTTCTCTTAGGCTTAAATCTTGCTCTGAATGGAAAACACCACTGTTCTCAAATTTGACATTCTTGAATCTAAAATCATTGCCCGAGTTGGACAGCATATTGAAATTAGAACCATCCCGTCATGCAATTCCAAGCCTCCAGAATTTAAAGGTAGTAAGAATTGAAAACTGCCATAAGCTGAAAGTAACTATCTCACCTGGCCTTGCTAGAAGTATGCTGCATCTACAAGAATTTTATGTATACAACTGCGATGGGTTAGAGCAAGTCATAGGTTTTGCGCAAGAAGAAGAAATTACTGAGGTAAAGATACATGTTCTCTCCAAATTTTTTAATAATTTTACTTTTAGATAGCAGTTTTTTATTAATCTGAGCAAAAAATAAAGAAAACCAAAAGTTGATTCGAACTCTACTATTTGGTTTGATTTTTATGGAGTTTCGTTCGGTCTCGGTTATGATATTACTTGAATATATCTAGATTTTGGTTCTAAAATTAAAAATTTTAAATTGAAATTTTAATTTTAATTTTGCATGATATTCCTCAATTTTATATAGACAAATATATATGTATTTATCTTTGATAATATTGAGATATGCATGCAGAATCACTATCCTTTGTGCTGGCCAAAATTGAAAACTGTCAAGATAATGAATTGCCGGAGATTGAAATATGTGTTTTCAGTCACTTTATCTCGAGGACTTCCACCGTTGGAATATGTTAAACTAAAGAATTGTCCTCAGCTAATACAAGTCTTCAGGCCAACGGAAGAAAGGGATATAGTGGGCAATCACATTCTGCTTAATCTGCCCTTTATGCGAAAGTTATCAGTGGAAAATTGTCCCAAATTGACATGCTTCATTGGCCAATCTCAACTGATGGAGGTATTATTCAGCTTTTTTCCATTTTATACATGGATTTTGGCACTGTAGTCAACTAATCAAAACAAATTCATGAGATAGTTCCCCTTTTCTACTTAGTTTGTAAGTCAAAATCCTTTATATACCCTTTAAATAAAAATATAAGATCATGCAATGTCCTCTCACATTTAAATAATATGGTTGAAAATTTTAGAGCTTAAAATCTGAAAGATGCATAATGGAGTCTAGTGTATTTTAATGACATTTTCTGGTGTCTATGTTTGCAGAAGCTATATCTTAAGAATGTGGGGAATAGTTGTCAATTATGTGGCACTGACGTCTGTATGTTCCATCGAGATTGTTTGGCAGTTGGGAATCATGAAGAGGTGTTTAAGGTTCAAGGTGGGTTGTATCCATTCTCCAACATTAAAAAACTGCAATTGATTCATTTCTCTGAAGCACGGACTATATGGAAGGATCTTGCTGGAGTCGTAACCCTTGAGAACCTTACAACTCTGCGGTTGTATGATTGCAAGAAGCTAAGATATATATTTACACCTTCGACAGCACGCAGTTTATCACAGTTGGCCATTCTATATATCATTGGATGTGAGGAATTGGAAGGAATCATTTTAGGCAAGGATCAAGTTTCTTCATCATCAAATGCTGGTCCTGCTCTCCAACATATAAGCTTTCCTAATTTGACTCGGGTTATAGTAACAGATTGCAACAATTTGAAAAGTTTGTTTCCTCTTGGATCTGCTACTTCTCTTCAAGGTCTTACACTTCTCAGAGTTGAACGGAACTCTAAATTGGAACAAATATTTGAAGTAGAAGATGAAACGGAAGTAAAAACTAAGGAGATAAAGTTTGATAGATTGGAATGGATAAAACTTGAAGGACTGCCCTGCCTCATTGATTTTTGTCCCAAGGGATATCATTTTGTGTTTCCGGGTTTGAGGGATTTGAAAATAAAAGAATATCCTAAAATGACTACTGGTTTCTTCGTTGATTCAAAGCAAATTGTTCATTCCAAATCAGAGGTATACACCTTGCAATCCTTCATCCTATTTAACTCCATTGTTTTTTTATATATATAATAAAGGGCATAATATGAAATCTCTCAAATTGTATTACAAAATGTTGATGTGGAAGTAACAAGCATGCTTATAAGCAAACTAAAAATGTGGAGGACAAATTTTAGCATTTATGTAAATGGCCATATAGATGTTTTTTTCTTGTGCCTTCACCATAATGCATGAGACATCAATATTTTTGTTTCACATTTCACTTTTCTTAATGGTTTATCTAGGTAACTGAAGGGTCTGCTTCAAAGACTACTCGACATACCGTTCGTAACAAGTACATACGTTGGAAAAGAGGCTGGTTTCAGACACTACCGCATTATATGGAAGAATAGATGATTTCAGGGCAATTTGCAAAGGCATGTTTACTCATAAATCAGAATGTTGAGGCTGTCAATTAAACACAGGTAAAAACAGGTGAGGCAATTTCTTTCTTAATATCTTTATTTTGTTTGCATATATCATGTAAGCAAGTTTAGGTGTCAAGTTGCGTGTGCTTATCTTCATTATTTGCATTAAAAACAGGTGGGTTGATAATGGCGCTTTTTACTGGTGAAGAAGCTTGCTTTATGGAGTTGGTAAGCAAAAGGATATGTCCTTTACTTCCAATTGGTAATTTAGCTAATTAAAGTTATGTTGCAGCTTTTATTGTGTGTTTTATGTGCAGTAAGTACAAGAAGAAGAGTTTGATTACTACTTTTCAACTTAAAAAAGAACATTATTTTCTTTCCAAACACATGTAATTTGAGAAATTCTGAAAACCCTAATGGTGATCGATCATCATTTTTTGTTGGCTTTTGGTTACATTGTACTACCACAAATTTGCCAGAGCGTTTGAATTGGAGTTTGTGGAAGACATTTAGGAATCACAGTTTGGTAATTGATTTTTTCAACCCTCATATGCGAGCCGTTAATGGCGAGCACTTTGATTTTGAATTAATGGTGACTAAACAAGGAAGTACTCACGTTTCTAAAGGGGCTGGCTCATCGGGTGATCATGTTCTGAAGGGGAACTTACATTCAGTTGGGTTTGAGGATCGGAAGGTCAACGAGATTATTGATGATAATAAGCTCCTAGTGATAAGTGTGTTGTTGGCTGGCGTAGTCGCCACTTCAAGGTTGGTGAGTTAGCCTTAGAGATGAACTCGAGAGGGTTAAGTGGATTCCCTCTCATTCATATCTCTGGCTCGATAATATTACTAATGTTTGAAATCAAGGAAAAGAGGAAGGAAACATTGGAATGAGATGTCTTGTGTACTTGGTTTGAGGGGGTAGAGGAATGGTCTGAATCACTGTGGCTTGATAGCTGTCGGGTTTAGCTCTCAGTGAATGGGGTTCTCATTCATGATTGGTCCTAAGGTACGTCTATAAAGTTGTCTTCAATGTGAGGAACATTTGTATCTATTGATGATGATACAATGGATTTGGATTATTGCTCAAAAAAAGAGATGATTGCATCGAGGTATCTAACCTCGGGTCGTGGGTTAAGAGTGACACCTAATTTTTGTTGACATTGTGTGTGATTATACCTCACATGTCTCGACACCTAATTAATGGGTTTGTATTGTAAGAACATGTGGGATTGATTCCTAGGTTGGATGAGGATTGTCATGAGAGTTTTTCAAACAATTCTCACATCGAAGATTTGATACTTGAGTCCTTCACTACAAAAAAAATATAATTTTAATGAAATTCACTAAAAATATCAAATTTAGTCGTTGAGATTCATAGTGATTACTTTTGAGAAAATAACTTCAGTGACTGAAAATGTCTTATAATATACGATTTTAACCAATTTTTTTGGATTTGCGAAAATAACCAACAAACTCGCAACGCGATTTCAAATTCGTAATACGAACTCCAATTTCGCAACACAGTTTTAAAATTCGCAACTCGGTTTTAAAATTTGCAACTCGAATTTCTTCTTTGCAACACGAATTTGGAATTCGTAACACAGAAGTCAAATTTGCAAATCGTGTTTATTTTCGTAACGAGAATTTTATTTTCGAATTCGAAACACAAATATTAATTTCGCAACACAAATGTAAACATTATATCCCGTAAATTGTAACTCATAACCTAAAACCCTAAATCGCAACTCATTCCATCTCCATCTCTCACTCTCTACGACGACATCCGTCCCCATCTCCAGTGACATCCGCCCCCATATCCGACAACCCCTCCATCTCCATCTCTCAGAGCCACCCTCTCACAACCATTCACGGCCAAAAATGGAAAATTAACCACCGAGGGTTAGTTTTTTTAATTATTTTTATTTTGAAATTTTTGTATTATTATTAGATTTTTTATATTTAAATTGATGATAAATTTACTCGTAATTTCAATATATAGATTAACCATTTCATTTAGATTGCTTAGTAAATTCATTCGGTTGCTGTCAATACTGCTAAACTGTTTAGTCTTTAACCCTGTGAAATTAGTATTTGTCTTTTGGTTGAAGTAATGCAATTCATTCAAGTTTCAATTTGCAAAAGAAGAGTAGTTTTTGAAACTTAAATTCGCAACACGAAAATGGAATTCGCAACACGAAAATCGCAACGCGATTTTAGTTTTCGCGTTGCGAATTTCGTGTTGCAAATTTCATTTTCGAGTTGCGATTTTCATGTTGCGAATTTAAGTTTCAAGAATAAACTACCATTCTTCTGCAAATTGGAACTTGAATGAATTGCATTACTTCAACCAAAAAACAAGACAAATACTAACTTCACAGTGTTGCAAATTTAAGTTTCAAGAATAAACTACTACTCTTCTAGAATGTTGTCCTTGAACCTGCACTAAACATATATGTTGTCATTTTAAATGTTTATACTTACTTCTGAAATGTTATCTGATGCATTTTGTGAACTATGATAGAATAATGACTTGGGTGAATACTGGCTAGTTTGAAACATATTTGGCTATATTTTCCTGTTTAATATCATGTCTGTTTATTGTGTATAATTTGTAGCTTTTGGTATATTATTAGTATATCTAACTTGGTATGTTTATTGTTTTTGTTAGGAATTTTTTTCGACTGCATTGACTTTAAGGAATAAATTAAGCCTAACCACTACAATTGCGTCGACACTTACACCTGTCCAAAGAAATTTTTTGAGAATACTTGTTTCGGGCCATGGCTGAAAGTAAAACATTCAGGTGGAGATGCTATGTTGACTCATTTGTTTCTTCAGACCATGACTAACGATCTACCCAAGGGGATACAACGTGGTGATGAGGAGATATGGTTTCATTTTTCACCGATGTATACTCGTTTTGGGCGGGAGGAGTTTTGCTTAGTCACTGGTCTACGTTTCGGACGACACGATGAATTAGGTCCGTACACTAGTCATATCGCCTGCCCATCATGGTTATTTCGGGTTTTTCCTGAGCTGGCAAAAGTGAAGGCCACTTTACACATTGACGATTTGAGAAGATTACTTCTTAAATATGGTTTTACTCAGATGAATGACCTTGATGTTGTCCGAGTATGCCTTTTGTTACTTTTGTATGCCGGCTTTTTAGCCAAAGAGGGCAGACAACCTATTTATCAGGATTTAATATTATTGGTAGAGGACCTAGATGCATGGAACATTTTTCCGTGGGGTTCATATCTATGGAAAGCTACCTAGAAAAAATTATCATCTGCCTTTGAGGACCGTCGTAGTTTGCGTGGGCATGGTTCCAAATACACTTTGGCAGGCTTTATTTGGGCCTTTAAGGTAAGAATTTCTATATAATGTTTCCAAAATTAATTATTTAACAATTACTAAAATTAATGTTTGTGTATTATATTATTTGTAGATTTGGATATTTGAGGCATTTCCCAGCATGCGTACTTATGCCATCAAGAATTCAAATGATATTCCTAGGGCTATTACTTGGAGGAGGATCCGACTGTTGGATTGAGAAGATTTACTACCATATACGATAATGAATGATGTAAGTTAACACAAATACTACCATATATAAACAAGTTATTACTAGTAGACGTTTGACTTTATTTGAGCTTTTATATTGTTATGAGGCAAACTATCCATTACAGACATTGGCACCCATAGAGGCTGAGCTTGCCACTGATTGGTGGCAAGCTAGTAGACATTTTTTATGGGACGGATGATGAGTACCCCCCACTTCGACACCGAGATCCATCACCTCATCGAGCCTCTTCTCCACTTCAACACCGAGATCCATCACCTGATTGAGTCGATTCTACACCTCGACACCGAGAGCCATCACCTATTCCATCACATCATCGAGCCTCTTCTCCACCATCACCTCATGATAGGCAACCGAAAAAGATGGCACGATATTTATCTCCTCATTCTCCACCTCCACGGGATGAGTTAGGTGCTTTACGTGATGAGGCCGGTGCTTTATGTGATGAGGCCAGTGCTTTACGTGATGAGGTTGGTGCTTTACGTGACGATAATGGTGCATGGCGTGATGAGGTAGGGTCTTTACGTGGTGAGGTAGCTGTTTTACATGATGACAATGGTGCTTTACGTGGTGAGATATCTTCTTTACGTGATGAGGTAGTTGCTCTACGTGAGATTGTTTCATCGTTGTAGAATGAGGTTCATACTCTATGCAATGAGGTAAGTTTGTTTAATTTTATAAGAAATACTATAATAAAAATGCAAATAACATTTTTTTCAGCATTATTTATTTATTTATTTATTTATTTATTTATTTATTTACTGATTTATGTATTAATTTATTTTTAGCAGTCCGATAAGGTAGGTGTTTTATATCGGGTTTTTCTTGCACGACGGGGTTCACGCATCAGACGTCATGGACGTGCCATTATGTCTCTTTTCACCCCAATAGTTTCAAGACTGCGTAAGAAGAAGCCCGATCCACCTCCTATTGTTCAGGATTCACCTATCATCGTTCAGGATCCACCTCCCACCGTTCAGGATCCACATGGCATTCGACATATTGGTAAACCCCCTCTTGTGCCTGATATGATAGATCAGAGTTGACTTTCGTATCAGTTACCGGCAAGTACCATTCCTCAGCACGAGATATGCACACTACCAGACACAATTATGGATAATACCGTTTGGGCTAAGATCGCAGTTGATTTTTATCTACATGAGCGGAGCCAGGGGTACTACACTGACATATGCAAAATCGACAATACACATTTGTTTCTTGAGCAGTCTTGGTGGGGTGTTTTATTAGGGTTGAAGAGAATGACTATTTCGAATGGGGGGTAAGCATTATATTCTTTTTATATTGATTTTGATTATTTTTTAAAAAAATTATTAAATTCACTAATATATGTATTTTTTTATAAAACAACATATTGATGCATGGGTGTCACGTCTTCTGATTCTAAGGAAATTGAAGAAAATCAAAAAGACGCGATGGACTATTATGCCTTCGTCTTTTCACGCAGCTCACTTGCAGGATCAGAGAGACGCTTCATATGCGTTGGGTAATGGCAAAACTATCCTTTATCCTGCGTGGTGGGAGGTCGATAAGGTTAATATTTATCTTTACATATTTAAAGGTGTTCATAAAATTTATTTGATGTGCGCAGTTGAAGTATTATTTATTATATTGCAGGTATTTATCCCTGTTATGGAACGTCTTCATTGGATTCTTGTCGAGCTTCAGATCCCTTCCCTGAAAACGATAGTATATGACAGCATGCTGAATTACATACCATTGTCTGATTTGAAAGATATTATTTGTAAGGGATGGAGCCGATCTTTTGGCTAAATACTTGGATGCGAATGCTTATTGGACTAATTCAGGAAACAAGAAGCCAAATAAGTTAAAAGTTA